TTCACTGGATGAGGGAACATTATGCTACATGTATTATACCAAATAAACCGGCAAATAACTTGGCTAATTATAAAATGCAGTTACGATTAAACCAAAATGTGATCACCTCCCAGTACATCGGCACTAAATCATTCTGAATTTTAAATGAGAAGTCAGCAAGTTAGATGAATATGTATCGGTTTTAAACTACATATATTCCTCAAAAAACATATTTAAAATAGATAATACCACCAATGCAATTACTAAAATAATTAGATACATTACCTATCAATGTGAATAACTTTAACCTTCACTTGGTTGCCTTCACTAAGAAAATCTCTCACATCCTGAACTAGGTCCCAAGAAACCTCCGAGATATGCACAAGTCCTGTTAGATAATATTGACCTATCCAAATATGCTCGCATAAGAAATTGTCATCTTTATATATCTAAGCCCTGTAAAAATCATAAAAGGATTATTTGCTAATAAAAGATAAGTACCGTTAGGGAACTGCAGGTGAACAAATGCACCATAGTCCTCCACTGAGCCCACTCTTGCATCGAAAACATCTCCGACCTTAACTTTATTAGAATATTTTGACCATATGGCATCCTTTTCAGAGAAGATCAGTTTCTTCTCCTCCTCACTTGCTTCAATTACCTGTATGATCAAGTAAGTAATCTCATATACATGTGAAACATTGCATGATAGAACCATATATCATAAGACACTATTTTTTCCAAAAAGTGTAAGCTGTCAGGCAGTGGCCTGCAATATATATCAAGGCAACTTCTTATACCAATGTCGAACCCTGAAAAATGAGTAAACAGAAATAAATGGTGGGGATATAAACAATTCAGGATGACATTCAAAACTCAAAACCTCCAGAATCCGATTATTTTAATATTAACAGTAGAAGGATAAATCCTAAGCCATTAGAAGCAGGACAATAATGTAGATCAATCAAAGAAAATGAGAAACACAACAGTCATTATAATACACAAATATTCAAGTTATATGCAGCTCTCCATGTCCAACTATGCTATTTTCAAGATGAAAATTGTATACTTTGATCCTTGGAACAGTGCATTATTGGAGATATAAATAATAAAATTGATCAATAAGAACTTGAACTGCCAATTTCAAGCAGAGAATGATTTGTAATTACTAAGGGACAGATATAAGACAGAATATGAAAATGATAGCAGCAATAATAAATGAATAAGACGTGCAAAGGAAGAAAGAGACTTTTAACTTGCACGATATGGTTCCATTTATTTTCTTCATTATGGACTTTATCGACAGCCTACTAAAAGCAATGTCCTAAATCACAATTTAATTATAAACAACCACTGAAAGGTGCTTACATGGTTCTGAACTGGCAGTTATTTAACCAACAATTCAGATCCTATTCCTTTTCCTCCATGTGTTTTAAGACATAATAACATAATTAAATGATACTTTTAGTTCAGAGATCTCGTATTTTTATCACTAAGTAAATACCAGTTTAGAAGGAGATTTGCCTTGAGTTCTAGACTCCAGCTCCTTTCCTAAATAAAAATAATAAAAATAACTTGTACACTAAATCAGACTTCTTTAAAATATAAAAGTAAACAGCTATTCTGATATGCTTTGCAGAAAAAGGCGACAATTTAAGGAGGAAAAAAGGAAAACAGAAAAGAAAGTTTGAAAATATGAAAGAAAAAGGGATCTGAATCTGGACCCACCTGCATGACACGTGTTTATTAAGATTTAAAATTCTAGAAGAGAGAAGAAAGATGCATTGGTATGGTTTGTCTACTTATCCTTCTTTTTTAGAGATGTCTTGGAATTTCTTATTTAACTGAAAAACACGTTGAACAGTAAAAGATGAACAAAAAATAGAGCCATTCTAACTTAATTGATAACAATGGCATGTAACTGCCAAAACCTACGGCCTTATGTTGAAACAAACATTATCTATCAGTTCAGGATAAGAGTAAGCTCCAATATAAAGCAAAAATGTTTGTCTATCCCTAAGAACATAAGAAATGAACTGAACAGGTATGCCCCAAAACTATAAAGAAGCAAGATTCTCATAAGCTTGAACTCAGAAAGTAAATACATTGTACTCCTTATCTGATGCCAAAGACCAGACATTGCACCTATGAACAAAGCCGATTAAGTTTCGGCTGCAAGATAGCTATACCTCATAGATCACCCACAAACTGTGTTGCATAGATACGGGTACAGGTACGGGACACGGCAAATTTGTAAAAAGTACAGTACGGGGGCACAACTGTATATATATAAAATAATTCACTTTAGATCAATATTGAATTAAATACCTATTACATTTTCATATTTTTTTATAAAATAATTCACTTTAGATCAATATTGAATTAAATACCTATTACATTTTCATATTTTTTGTTATGTAAAGTGGAGATTATAAATAAGAAACTAAAGTTTTGTTATGTAAAGTGGAGATTATAAATAAGAAACTAAAGGAAAGTGCATGTTGCAGGTGTGAATTAAAACGTCGGGATGGCAATGTTCTCTTGGAGAATTGAAGACAATAATGTCAAAGAAGACAAGAAAGAGAAGAGGGACATATAGAAAAATAGATCAATTTGTATGTTATATTATTATGTAAACTTGGCTTGTATAATCCAATTGAGATTGAATTAGTTTCAAATTCTTGAGTATGTAAACACAATCTGTTTTCGAGCTCAAAAATGAAATCCATTCAGAAATCCATTATCTGAATGGAAGCTCACTACATAAAACACATTAACAATGAAATCTATTAAAAAAACACTAAATACAAACTTCAACCACCAAATTTGTTCAGGAAAAGCCAAACGAGCCCCAACTTCACAGAAGCTCAGTTCATCTTCATCAGTTGCTCAAAGGAAAAAAGGAGAAACAACTTTAAACAAAACCCTAAAAACCCTAAAAGTCCAACTTTGGAAAATTTAGTTACCTTGTCTTCGAGCAGAGGCGCTGATTTCATCGTCGAGGAGCTGATTTCCGTCGTCGAGGCGCTGATTTCCGTCATCGAGGCGCTGATTTCCGTCGTCGAGGCGCTGATTTCCGTCGTCGAGGCGCTGATTCCGTTGATGGGTTCTAACGTGGGAAGGCAGAATCGGTCTTCAAAGAGGAAAGGAGGACTGGGTATTTCAAGTGGCGGGTTTGGGTTATTAGGCTCAAATAGCGGACCCGATTGGACTGATGATTCAAAATTTTTGTTTGGGAACATTTTTTTTCCCTCACTCGTGCCAGAAGGAAAATTGCCATGTCCCTGCCGTTTGGGTGCGGATCCGCACCCAAAATGTACCCGACACAGGTACGGGACCAAAAATAGCATGTCGGAGTATCACAGCCCACAAACCTTTTGGTACTTTCCATCAGAAGTTAACAACACCACTAGCATGATTTTTTATGGAGCATGATTTGCCTACAATTATTGTACTTAATGCAATCTTTCAATCATTACAAGCCTACCAAACGGAATCACATAGAGATCTGATGAAGAATGTACTTAGAAGTACAAAAATATAATCAAGTATACCTTTACAGAAAGTGATGAACCTACTAGATCCTCTGCAATATCTTGAATAGACTTTTGTGGGTCTACAAAAAAAAAAAGACATCGCCTTTAATATTATGCAATAATAAGTACGGTAACTAAAAGAATAATGGCCAAAAATCAACACTTTATACGTATATATTATCCAGTACACGTAAGTGGATAAGACAATACATCTTATTCTTCCATTCAGTTTTTAATTTTCTAAGGCTATCTCCTCTATTAAATTAACCACTATTATATTTTTCTTAATTTATTAAATAGTTTAACCTCATCTTCCCTTCCAATGTTAATCATCAATGGAGGACTACACAAATGCTCCTCCTTTATCACTTCTAAAGCAGTCATTTTACCCACACGGTCAGAAGGTCTACATGAAGGAACTGCATCGCCATCCTGCGACCCATGAGCTTAAACTTTCAGATATTGTCCAGAATTTTGTTGTTTACAAGGTAAAATGTTTTATGCGTGCATCCTAAAAATTCATTTCATTGTACAGATATTTTTTCCTCTGGTACCTTATATCAGGTTACTATTTTATTAATAGATGACTTTACCCAAAAGTTGTTAATGTTCACGAATTTTCAGATATGCAAATAATGACCTTAAAGTTGTTATGATTTACGTATAAACTGACCTTAAAGTTGTCTTGCATTTATCTGTGATTCTCACTGTTCATTTCATGTCCAAATATATTTGCTGGCATACTTTACCTAATACTTGTTCTGCAGGATATACATGGGGTGTCCTACTTCTTAAGGTTTTTTCATGTCGTGTATAACTATATGCTTATAGATCACAGAAAACATCTCGCGCTAAAAGGACTCGAATAATTCCATGGGAAATCACATTAACCAGTATACTGATATAACACTAGCACCTCCTCAACAACCGTTACAGCATAAAATATCGTCAGTAGTTAAATTCTCGGAAGAAGGAGGCACGAAGAGGAGTTGTACCTTTACATGAATAGGATGGACCCAACAGAGGGTAAGGAAGAAAACCGAGAATCGAATAAAACCTAATCAACAAACCACCATTGTTGAAACCCTCAACCCTCCCATCAAAGAGGACACCACTTTCCTTGTAAGTCCTTGCTGCCCTCCAATCAGCAGACCTCTACACCTTCACAGAAACTAAACATAAGGTTGCATGCAAAATGCGAAACTCTCCAACGTCTAACGAGCATTGGGGTCATCTCGAAAACCCTAAGCACAAGCAAAACGAGAACAGTACCTTGAGTTGGCGAGCGTCGTCATCAGCAACCTTGGGATCCTCTTGATCAACGCCGCCGACGCCGCTGCTGCTGCTGCTTCCACCAGAGGAGGAGGAAGAAGCGATCTTGGCAATGAATTTTGAGGGTTTAGAGATCAATAGTGAGGGTTTGGAGCGGAGATTGAAGGTGAAAGACGATATGAAAGGGGAATTGAGATGATGATTGATGATGAGAGAGGAACTGGATGAGAAAACAGATGAAATTGAGCCCAGCATTGTGAATAGTAGAGAGGGGGCGAGAAAGGAGGCGCCTTTGATATATATATATATTTTTCTAAATTGGAATTTTTGGCGCAAGAAGGGACTGTTTTGGGATTTGGGATTGGGATTTGGATTTGGGGATGATGAATGTTAATCGGGTGTAGCTCCAAGTGTCATCTTTGAAACCCACACATCCTGGTGCAAGAAAGGGGCAGCCCGAATTTAGTGGACTATGATGGTCCACGGAACACGGACCGCCAACCACCCGAATTCAAAGGTTGTAATCTACTTCTCTATACAAATAGGAGAATCCAAGATTTACAATTCGTACTACAGTAATGCTACAGTAGCATTTTTGGGATATAACCCCTCGTTGGTGTTCTCAATAGTCACTCGTTTGGAACCACGTCTTTATGAGCGCGGGCCCTAACAGGCTCTTGGACTTCAACTCGTAATCCGAGGCGAGCAGTTATAGGTACCTTCTCAATGTGAGAGGTCCTTGACTTGTTGGGAGGATGTGCATGACCCCCAGTCTGATAAACTGCTCGGGGTTCATTCAACGGGCCCAAGCGCTCTTTGACTGGAGTTTTGCCTCGATTCTCGTACCGAGGACCAAAGCGATCTGCCATTGTTTTCTTGTCTTTGGACAAGTCCACACTGCCGTAGGGCTTCATTGGAAGTACCTGATCATTTGGAGTAGGTATGGAACTTGACGGGATCGGAAAAATGGGCGTAGAACACCTTCTGTCTCGGCCTTAGCGCAGGTCACCTTGGGGTGACCCGCACTTGGCCGGGTCACCTAGGGGTGACCCACTGGTGATCGGGTCACCTCTGAGTGACCCGCACTTGCCCGGGTCACTGCTGGGTGACCCGTTGACGTCTGGGTCACCTCGGAGTGACCCGCGGCTGGTCGGGCGTTCTTCGGTCTTTTCGGCTGTAGTTTTGGCCTTTAGCCTCCATACTTTGTGTAGTTTTGGTGGTTTTTGAGCCACCTCTTCCTTCTGCAATTTTTTGACTTCCTGCACAATGATTCTTGCATGCGTAAGCAATGCGTGGCACTTCTGAATCCACTCCTCAAGGGTTGAACAGTTCCTTTTGATGTGGACCCATTCATTCGTCGCTGGTTTGGAGGAGGAGTCGCTCACTCGCTGTTGTGGTTCTTGGTGCTTTCTAAATTTCAGATCCGCCTCATAGCGGATCACGTTAACTGGCTCAAAAGCCTTGGCGAGTTGGCGCGCGAGGCATTAGCGTTGCCTTTGACCTGCTCTCTTTGATAGAGTTTCCGTGCCTTCAGCAGTAAACTCCTTTATCAATTAGGGGTCCAAATCTGTGGCTTCAACCTCATTGGATGCTGGAAGGGTGTTGCGAGGTGCAACTGTAGCAGCGGCGGAGACATGCATCATCTTGGGTCTTCAAATCTGAAGACCAGCGAACCTTCCTTGAGGAGGAGATCCTCTTGCACTTGTGAGTAGAAGAGGATCTAGAGGAGGAAGACATGTACTCGTACTTTTGCTGGTCGAACTCGTATTTGACCTTTGTATCAACCGGGATCACTATCCTTGGTTGCGACACTACAGCCTCGGCAGAGAGGCTGTTGGCTCCCACTATGGTCATCAGTGTGTTTGGGTCAAAAGTTACAATCATTTATCAATTACAAATTCAAAAAATAGAAAAGTTGATCTTTTTATAAGATCTCCTTACACAATGAAAAAAATAAAAGATTATAACTTTGTCAAACAACACACAGATCATATTTATTAGTCTCTATTTGTGTAGGATCTTTATCTGTGCTGGGGTTTATCCGTGGACCGTCGTGGATCAGATTCGGTTGATCGGAAGGCTAGGAGTCCATTGCTTCACAAAGGAAACAAGCAGAAGTGATAATCTCGACCAAGCGAGATTATGACTTTTCTCGAGATCAAGTCCAAGCCTGATCTTAAGGAAAGGGTGGACGGGGCTTCAGATTCTTCGAATTGCTCCTTCTTTATGCTGGGATTCGCCAAGATCTGTTAGCCCTCTCTGAAATTCGTGGATCACTCTTCAAACTGACAGCACTTTGCATAAAATTTCAGCCCCCTTTTGTGAATGAAGTCCCTAAGCTTGTATTTATAGGGCTTCAGATGTAGAGTATTTGGATAAGAATGAGTAATTTAGCCTTATCTTCAGTTGATAACGACCCAACCACTCTTAGATATGCTATCAAGTCAGTTGTGAAGCTTAGGAACGAAGAAATCCTAAAGAACCTATTCGAAAACGGGTTTTAGGTAATCGGGTGCGCGGCAGGCCATCGTGACCCGCGTGGGTGTGGGTTACCTTTGGGTGACCTGCACGCCACGCGGGTTTAAGTCTTTTTAGAGGTCTTTTGGGTATTTTTGCTGTTTCGTTGACAGTACACTTCGCTGACTTACTTCGTACGCTCGTTAGCTTTTTTACGGCCTTGAATGATCCCATTTGACTCAAATGATGATATTCATTATCTTCTCTTTGTCTTGAACTGTGTGTAGACACCTACAGGCATTTTTAGATGCCTACAGTGAGAAATATAAAACTAACCCTAACAATAATTAAAGCACAATTAAAAAGATCTTACAATCCTTAAATAAATCACTCTCCAAAATGATGATGTTGAAGATCCATGAAGAAACCATGTTGCAGCCAAACACAAAGGGCACTCATCCTCGCTGAATTATATCCCGATGTTAATGCAATGAGAAGAAGTTGATCAAGGCTAAGGGAATCAAATTCTAACTCTCATTCTCTCACAAACCCTAGAATTTAATCTCTCATGGTTAAGAAAATATCCTCCCTATTTCTTGTTGTTTATCTCTTCTCAAATCCCTCCTTAAATAGACCTTGATTGCCTTGAAATGAAGTCATCTAATCAGTGGTGAAATAAGAGATAAAATCTGTGATCAAACGACTACGCCAAAATGTATCCAAACTATTGATGGTTAAACGCGATCATCGATGGTTCCATGTAGTCCATCGATTGTTCAAATTCTAATTTCTAAAATTTATAGATTGTTGATTGTAGTCCATAGATGATTGAATGGATCAGTCAATTGATGGTTTGATTTCTCGTTTCTAGGAAATACAGATTGTTGACTGTGTTAGGACTCATGTGTGTGAGCCTACTTCTCTAATCTTGTTTTGTTGATTAACAATTAATTTCTAATCTGGTTTCTAGTGTTTGTGTTTTTATTATATGCTTGCAGGACATATTTGAGCATAACGATGACATTCTTGGAATTGAATGTTTTTGTAATGAAGACGTCACAACTAATATCAAGATTCAACATCGCTTCATCCGTCACCAAGATCGAGCTCTAACGAAGACCATTAGCTTGGGTAAAATAGCTTAGGTTTATAATTTGTGCATTATACTTATAAGCTCAATTCATACACATGCACTTTTTTGAGAATATACTAAATTTTTGGATTAGTGACTTAACAACAATGTTTCATATATCTTATCAAGTACATTAATCCACTCAAATAATTTTCCAAACTTACATATGGTCATTGTGTCAAAAACAAGTAATTACGAACTCATATTTCTAACACTTTTGCAAAATGACAAGTTTTTACAAACGTGAATTACATTTTCAAAATTTCTTCGTTGACATGTTTTTTTCATGATTATAAACATTTCCTAAAATTTTACTTTTTTTGGACTCAATTTGTTATGTTTAATTGAATTTTCAATATTCATTTCTCTGCATAAACAAATCCTAAAAAACAAACCTGTATTAGCTTCGGTCGACCGACCAAGTCGTAGCAGTTGACCGGCTAGAGAAGTGTTTTTCAATGTTTTTGTTCTCAGGGTCATCAGTCGATCGACACATATGTATCGGTCGATCAACCCTTGTTCACCGGTAGACCGACATTATAGCCGTTGCATATAACAACTAGTTTTTTAGATTTTTTTTTGTTAGATTCACCTTGTTTTTTGTGCTTTCCTCTGGTTTGGGCTGATGTGTTAAGAGAATATAAATAGTCCTTAATACTTAGTTTCAAGTATGAAAGTTTAGAACAAGTTTTATAAGTTTTTAAGAATTTCAAACTTAAATAAAAAGTGTTTCATTTGTATTTTACAAGAGAAGAATTTCTACAACGTATTTGCGGATCTGTACCTCAAATTTCTACCTCTCTTATTTATCGGAGAAGTTTTCTATACTCCTTTCTTCTAGTAAATCATTATTATCATTTTCATATATTCTTGCTAGGTTAATTTGATTTTGATTTTATTTATACTCATTGTTTACACATATCCCCCCTGAGCTTAAGTATTTTAACATATAGTATAATTATTAGGTTGTGAGGTTGTAACATTGAGAGTGAGATTAATTTAGTTCTCATCTTTGTATTAGAGAATAAATCTTGTACTTACGCTTTTATTATTGAGAACACGTTGTAATACACAAGGACACCGAGAGAAGTGGTTAGTGAGAGACGGAGTCAATTCCAAGATGAGTGGCGTCAGTTGTAAATCCTAGGGAGATGTTATAATTTCGAGCACTTGAGGAAGGTGACACGGGCTAAGCCAATACTTAGAGGGTGTTTTGTGTGATTGCAAGTGTGTGAGTTGTAAACGTTTATCGGTGAGTGTTTGTTTGGTGGGAAAATTGAAAGAAGAAATTGAGAAAATGAATTTGTATTATTCTCTCTAACAAACTTAAAAAAGAATATATTACAATTCTCTTAATGCAATCTCTCTCTAATAACTCAGAAAAAGAAATTATAATTCCTCTCAACTAGTTTCCCGAATTACAAAAGAGAGAAATATCGACAGAGACCTTTCCCTTTGTTTAACCTGGGTTCTTCTTGGTGTCGATGGGCTTTCGATCTTGTATCACGTTGACTATCTGAACATTGCACTTCACTGGAACACAGTTTCTTCCTCTTGATTGATGTTGAGGAGAACTTGCATGACAAGTTTGAACAGAACTCTTGACGAGTTTAGGAACTCAGTGCGAGTTTTAAACTCTGTAGAAAAGTCGATTTGAACCAAAAATCGGTTTTAAGCCAAGTACCAAAGCTCCAAGGATCTCTGTTGCCGAAGAATGCTTCAAGGATGAATGTTGATCTCTCCTTGTGCAATTGCGATGCAAAAAGCCAATCTT